ATGTGAGTTCTAACCGACCGTTAATGGTGCGGCTCATGGCACAGACTAGCTAATGCTTGACCATTGCCGAGAATGCTTGAGTGTCAGCCAAGCGCTTGGCATATACATCGTCATTGGCCATGACGATGATCTCGCAATCGTGGGCGCGGCCATCGAATTGAGCTTGCGGCCCGAAAGTCAGGGCCATTGTGGGCTTGTGCATGGAAGCAAGTGATGAACCGTGGTCAAGGATACTCGGCTTCCACCAATCAATTTGATTCAACCTATGGTTGATTTCACAACCAGCCCTGATAGCAAGTTTCACGTAACAAAGACTTTGATTTGATCCATCTTTCAGTATTGTAGGTTCAAACTTCAACTTTATGCAGTAACAGATTGGAAGTCTATTTACATTGTGTGACTAATCAGCCTTGAGGCAAAGCACGATCACGGATCGCGAATCATTGACTTTGAGCATCGTTCGCGCAGAAGGGGATTGTGGAGATCTTAGGAACAATTTGGGACAGCCATGCCCCATGACGAAATCATATCCTTGTCAATTTACTACTCAGCTTACTATCATCTAAGAGGAGTTTAAGCAGCACAATCCGTACAAAATCCTGTCTTTTCCTTTTTTGTCAATGCCTTTTATGAGCTTTCCCACCAATACATCCAACAGTGAGAACGGGTATACCTATCTTATTGAGCCATGAAGCTTCTTTCGTACCTATTCTTATTGCATTCTGCTGAGTGGGCTGCTGGCCAGTTGATTGGGCCAGTAGGACCTACCACTGACATTAGCCAAAAGCAGCGCGCGTGCAATATTTTGGATTATGGCGCCCTCAACGACAACTCAACAGACATTGCTGGATCTCTGGAACAAACTTTCAAAGAATGTGTTCTGAATCACCCTGGAAGTACACTTGTCGTTCCGGAAGGGGAATATCTCCTGAACCGATCCGTCGTCCTTAGTAACGCGACCAACTGGGCTTTTCAGCTCGAAGGTCTCATTACCCTTGCGTACGGCGGAAATTATACAGTAGATCGTGAGTTGATACTGCAAGGATATGCAGGCGCCAAACCTCTGAACGACACAATTAACGGAGAGGGTGATGGTTTGTTTCTTCAAGATGGGCTCGTTATAGTAAACGGTAGGAGATGACACCCTCTCACAAGACTGCTCGTCCTGCTATGTCATGGTATGTTAACACGTAATAGCGGTCGACTTTGAGTTCTACTCCTCTACCGGCAACGGTGCTTTCCAAGGGCAGGGATATATATACCGGAATTCGAATAAGTAAGCCTGATTCTTGAAAATCGCGTCATCAAGAGCCAAGATACTGACCAGCATAGCACTGTTCGGCCACGTTTGATCCGCCTGATCTCCCCGACGAATGCATCCGTACACGATTTGATCTTGGTTGATAGCCCCAAATTTCACATAGTATTCGATTTTGCAGTCAACCTTGAAGTGTATCATTTGACCATCAGAGGTGCGAACCTTGGTTCTTATGAGTAAGTCTTTAGATATCGATTTTACCTCCTTACAACCAAGTTTGAGAAGCCAAGACAAATAATCAACCTGAGAATGGAAATTGCTCTTGAAGCACATTTGAAGAGCTCTTCTATCGATATCACAAGACAATGACTAACTTTGAACAGCGGTGTAGATGTCGTTGGTACAAATTATTGGGTGCATGATATTGAGGTGATCCATCGTTTCCACATTAAGATACTTGTTCTCACAGTGTTTAGGTGACAAACAGGGACGAGTGTGTCTCCGTGAAGAGTCCATCGAATCATGCTCTGGTAGAGAATCTGGTCTGTAATCAGGCAGGATCTGGCATCTCCATTGGTAGTCTCAATGTCTCCGCATCCATCGCGAATATTGTAGGTCGTGCCTAATGTGGACGTGACTTGTACTGACGGACCCTAGCACGCTAGAAACATTAGTATAATTCAGGGAAATAACATAGCCTTTATCAAAACATACCCAGGCGGCTCAGGTTTTGTCACAAATGTTACATTCGAAAACTTTCGGTCCAAGGCCTCACTATATGGTCTAGATATCAACCAGTACTGGCAGAACACATTTACTCCAGACACTGGATCAGTGGCACTAAGCAATCTAGTGTTCAAGAATTTCACTGGTATTCATGATTGGCTTTTCGTTGCAGAATGCTCTGATAGCTCATTTTCTGATAGGGTCTGTCGCAAACGGGGTACAAAGACCGCCACTATATCTAACCGCCAATGACCTCACTTTTGCGGTCAATGTGACCGTTGAGGAGTTTTCTATCTGGACTGAGTCAAATTCCTATGTGGTCAACAAGGTCAACAATATTTTTGGTCACGGTGATGATTCATACGGCACGAACAATGGAATTAAATCATTAGCTGTCGGCGAGACACCGACGCCATACACAAGCACTCTTACTATAACGGCCTCGCCTACAGACTGGAGCATTCCTCCTTCTCCAACTTGGGCTGTCCCAAATACAGGATACGGAAGTAAGTACAATGACTTATTTATCATCAGATCTAACATACTTCAGCGGACCAACCCATTCCCGTTTACACCCCTAGCCCGCTATGGAAGCCGCAAGGGGATTATGATAAGCACTACTGGGGAACATTCTAGGTGCCTGTGCACAGTAGACTCAAGTTAGAGTACACGAAGATTTTAGATCATAAATCAAAATCAGTCGTTAGGTGTGCCGTAGAAACCATTGGTACCACGACGCTAAACAATTTTTTATTAGTATTTGTATTGTTCGCTTGCAACTTAACATGATTTCAATAGAGCTGTGCATACGCGTTGCCTCGAACAATGCCAGCTCGCTAAAGCGATCATCAACGACTGCAATCTGTCATTTATTGTAAGGAGAGTACAATAGTGCACGAGGACGATTTCGTGGCCCTTTCCTCCTAAGATCATGAAGCCTATCAAAGGTCTCTCTAATTGGCTCGTTAATTCCGACGGGATTGTGCATTTTATGTGGTGCTTACTCGATCACGACATCGCTGCTAAAGTCACGCCAAGCCAGGGGTTGGAGTACCATAAGGGACAACTCCTTCCGGATCCCTGCATGCATATCGATAAGCGTCGTTAAAAATATAAAACGAAATTCCAACGGCTAACATCGCTGTGGTAAGAAGCGTATCGTTGTCTCGCTCCTTTGTAGTGCATCATGGCTGCCAGAAACGTTCTCCTTCTTATCGCAGATGATCTCGGCAAGCAGCTTGGCTGTTACGGTTGTCCATATATCAAAACTCCAAATATCGACAAGCTTGCCGCAAATGGTGTCCGCTTTGACAATGCATTTGCTAGTACAGCTTCCTGTAGTGGCAGCCGCTCAACGATCTACACCGGGATGCATACGCATCAAAATGGCCAGTACGGACTGAACAGTGGGAAGCATCATTTTATGACATTTGAACACATTGAGACTGCTCCTGCCGTACTCTCGAATCATGGCTACAGAACTGGTATTATCGGCAAGATCCACGTCGGTCCCGCCGATATTTATCCCTGGGAATCAAGAGAAGAGAGCTTTACACGAGATGTTTCCTGGACGGCTGACCGGGCAGCGGACTTTTTTGAAGTCTCCAAAAAGGACAGTCGTCCGTTTGTGCTCACAGTAGGGTACCACGATCCACATCGTGATCGCACTCGAGGTGGTTTCGGCAATGACGAGCCTGTCGACTCAAGGGTGAAGCGCACTAGCTATCGGCCAGAGGATATGGTAATTCCTGGTTTCCTATCAGACACCCCAGGCGTTCGGCAGGAATTAGCAAATTATGCCGAAGCCATTAGCCGTTTAGATCAGGGTATTGGGATGATTCTCGAAGAATTAGAGAAAGCTGGCCATGCCGAAAACACCCTGGTAATATTCATGAGCGACAATGGCCCGCCGTTTATGAACTCAAAAACGACGTTGTACGATGCTGGCATATGCTTGCCATTGATCATTAGGCAGCCAACGCTGCCACCGTCAGTCAACCCTAATCTGGTATCTTATGTCGATGTGCTTCCAACCATACTTGAATGGACCCTGGGCCCCTCAGCGAAAGACCTCAACAAGAGTGAGCGATCGGGTAGATCCTTTCTCCAAATACTCGGTGCGACGGAAAGGCTACCAGAATGGGACCATGTCTTCGGTTCACACACTTTTCACGAGTCCACTAACTATTGGCCTACGCGTTATATTCGAACAACTCGCTACAAGTATCATAGGAATATTGCTTGGCGCCTTGACTTCCCGTTCGCAAATGACATATACGGTTCACTTACCTGGGAAGACGTGCGAAACGCGGAAGTAAGTCCAAAGACAATCGGGAAACGGCCTCTCAAGGATTACTTTTTCCGGCCACCTGAAGAACTATATGATCTAGTTGAGGATCCCGATGAAATAAAGAACCTAATTAAGGATCTGGATCATACCGTGGTGCTAGAGGATTTGAGGACGCGCCTAGAGGCCTGGCAACGTAGGACTAATGACCCATGGCTCTTCCGAGACGGCATTTCGGTCTTGCTCAATAAGCATCATCTCGATGCAGGACTAGCTGTGCCGAACAAGTGGGATCTAGACCTGGAGAATATTGAGACAAAAGGGACCGATGTCGAGATGTATGAAAATCTGCCATTCGGCGTTCCAGGACCCAGGTCATGATAGAAGGCAAACACATCATTTCATGTCATGCAGCACTAAGCTAGTGTTGAAGTCAACGATTTGCCAAGGGCAATCTTTAGGTAGTGAACATGTTGCCCGCCATCATGGAATGAATCCAAGCGAGCGAGTGCCACCGAACCACTCTCTTATTATGAACGATAACGGCTGCGGCGTATCATCTAGTGAACGGCAACCTCTATCGACATGCTGAAATAGACAACAATAAACCTCGATGGGCACAATGTGCCAGAAAACCCCCACGCCGAACGCATATCGTGATAGCTGACATGTCTGAATGACCCCCAAAAAAATGCTCCTCACATGAACGCCCCTTTGCCCTCATACCTATCAGTGAACCCATCGTGTCATCTCGGGGCAGTCGACGTGCGCCATTTCTTGTTCCACGTGGTTCCAAAATTCCCAGCCCTTAGGGTCTGTCATTCCGTTGCCTCGGTTCATCTTCTGAACATACTCCTCCTTGCTCTTCACGGCATAGTGATGTAACGATAATCTGTCTCTCGTGATAGGGTTGCGGAAGGCATAGTGATCTATCCGGTCGCCGTGTTCTCCTACGGTCAAAGCATTGTATTTCAAGTTGAACTTGTGGGGATTCGCCATGCTCTCAAAATTCTTAACGCGGACGATTGACTTGATATGCTTGTTATCGGTGTTCTCGCCGTCGTGCTCGTCATCATCTTCAATGCATTCCGTGTACGTTTTGAGCACAGAGTCGGCGCGCGTGAGCTGTCCGTTCGATGTGTGCATGCGCCAACTCACGCCGATCGCGCCAATCGCTTGAATGGGTTCAAAGGTCTGAAGAACCTCACGTAGAGTCTCGGGGCCAGGAGCGTCGAAAAACTCGTCGGTATCGATAAAGGCCATCCATGTGCTGTTTTGGCCAAATTGACTGCATTCTGCGTATACTTTGCCCTGCATATAGTTGACACGCTGAGACTCGTCGTAATAGTGGAACTCGAGTGCTTCGCGCGGAATGCCGTAGGAGTCGACGAAATCGGACATTGGAGGCTTCGATCCATCATCCATTATATAGAATTTGTTGACGCCCATATTATAGTAGTGGTGTTGCAGCCATTCAGGAAGATCCGGCGCCTGATCTCGAACAGACAGGCATATGGCCAAGTACTCATCGTCATGGTGCACCTTGTTTCCGCCGAATTTATCTCTCAAAGGTGACGATATCGTGAGTATCGAAGAGGTGATACTTTCGGAGCGTCCTTGAGAAAGAAGAGCTGGCGCGGCGAGGCATAGGAGCGCAGATGCTGCGAGCAGGTACCTCCTCCGACTCGCGAATTCAACAAATCGAGCTGCCATTTTCGCGAACCAGCAGTGATTGAGGACGACCACGTTACGATTCTCTTTTTTAAAAGCACTTCAGGTAAACGTCACGCCTTATAGGCTCCTGTTGTCCCGCGAAGGACTGGATTCCCTGTCCCTTCGTAAGCATCCCTTTCCAAGCCACAGCTCCCTTTTCAGAGTGAGACATGCGCGACCCCGACACAGCAATTCCACATTCCGACCAAAGTTCGATCCCAATGATAAAGCCAATTTTTTGCCCCCCCTAAGTGGGACGGTGATTGCATCTTATCGAACTAAATATCGCGCAGCGGCCACGCGCCGCCGCGTAATCTTTGCGGACACTCCACCAGACTTTAATTTCTAATTTTGATAAAAGCAATGTGGAACCGGCACCTGCAAACGCAAACCCACCTTCTGGATCCTCTTCGAAGAAGTGATTATCCACTGTAAGCCCGAGATCTACAATGCCGTCATTTAATGACGCTGTGCAATCCTGTACGGTAATCAGTGAAAAGCTAGGCCCCATGAGCACCACCTGTGAGACTTGCCCTGCCTATCGTGAAGGACGATCGATGATTTTGAGTCTCGCTTACCTCGACAGGCCAGACGACCTAGACACAAGCGAGTCGCACCAGTATCACCTACAGTCTTACAGTAACTTCAGCGAATCTAGATAGACCCGATCTAGCCTCATGCTAGGCTAAGATAAGCACGCCTTAATACCCAGAAACGAAGATTGTGGTAGCTGAAAGAACACTACAGCCAACTAGCGAGGTACTAGAACAGGCACTAATGATTAAGGTGTTTCTCCCGAAGCTTAGCCCTCTCGAGCCCCCTTCGCAGTCGAGACAGTCCCGTCTCGAGTGGCATTTGTCCTCACCAGATCTTCACAATCACGGCGCGGTCCGTTGGGTCGTACACATCATTGGTCATTGAGGTTTCTTGTTTATCTGCTACTGCTAACCAGTAACACAACACAACACAGCCATACCACAACCAGCAAATTCTACCCATAGCGCTTGGTCCGGTACTCGGGCATTATTGAAAATGTAATCTTATACGTCAGTGACTAGCTCAGGTAATATCAAAGGTTTCTGGCTCAGTTGTAAGCTGGCTCATGATCTCTCCATGCATGACACCTTCCAAGTAACATTCTCCCACAAACTCATGAAATGTGGAATGTTCGCTGTGAGATTCTCCATTCCGAGATTTGTTCTCACGCAGTATATACGGGACTTTGCCGCCATGCAAGATGACAACAATGTCGCCCGTCCTAGTACCGTCAGGGCAGAGACCGGCTTGCACATCTCCGCTCGTATTTTGGCTATTGAAATAGCACGGCGTATAACAGGGCAGGCTCAGGCCGCCTTCAACGGGTAAAAAATGCGTCATTAGATGATCTCGATACCAAGCATTGTCGCCAGGTCGATGCCGCGGCTTGTGGTCTTCCCTCTCCCATATCCAAGTTCTCATAGTCCCCACAGGATCGAATATGGATATGAAAGCATCTCGCATTTCAGATGGAGGACGGAGTCTCGCAATGCTGCCATCGACTTCAAACAATGGGTAGGGCTGTATTTCCCCTACAGTGCAGACGCGGTGGCCTACTAATCGAAGTAGACTACTATTTGCCGGAGACGAATCAAGGACGCTAATATCAAGGGATGTCGTGCTCGAAGCCCGAAAAGGGCTCCCTTTAGACAGTCCAAGTGTAGCTTTGGCCCAGGAAGATGTTCCACCAACCCAAAAACTCCATGATGGATGATCTAAGGTGCTCAAATCCGGTGGTGGGGTTGAAGACATTCTCTGCCAACCACGGTGGCGTGCCGTATGCACAGCCGAGAGAATCCGGAGAGATTTGTGTGTCCTGATCCACCACTTGGTGAAGTCGATAAAGACTTGAGCCGTCGATTTACGGTAGTCGGGACGGATCTCTGGACTGAGATCTTGCATACTGCTAGTTTCGGCGCCAAATTGTAACAGCGCGAGAATCTTATCCCTCGGATCGCTCGCATCTAGCGCCTGACCTTCCAAGAGAACCTCAAGAATGCCAAGCGGGTTTGAGCGGGTTATTTGTCCATTCTCCGTAATTTCGAACAGTCTGGAAAAGACAGGAGGCATGAGCGTGTATCGAAACAACTCGGTCTGCTGCTTTGCTTTCACAACACAGTCTGCCAGACGTACGACAACTGGCCACGGAAGTACATCAAATCCGCAATGAACAACAGCGACCTGCGCATTGGCAACCTCCTGGAGCACCCATGTTCGACGAAACCAGGCGAATTCGCAGCGCTGCCAGCTATGCATAAAGGGCAATAAATCATGAAAAACCATAGGTTCGTGTAGCCGCTCAGTATCGGCGCGCTCATGGCTCGTCGTTGATGCATGGTATTGTGACTGATATCGTGCTGCTATTGACTGCACGATACGGAAACAATGCTTGCTGTCTGGAGTTGACGGTCCCAACCAGACTACAACCTGCTCCGCCCCAGAATATATGGCTCTCATGAGTGAGACTTGGTGAGATCGTTCACCAAGATTATGTTGGTTAATGCACAGGGCATCCGCCCATAGGACACGAGGGGCGCCAGTCTTTGGTCGCAGATGTCTCAAGGCATCAGACAGATTGGAAGTAATGAATACTTCATACTCGTTGCTTTCGTAGTCGCCGGATGGCTGACGTACTTTCAGATGTATGGGACGACCATCATTAGAGGTACTCCAGCAATAAGACAGTGCCTCAAACTTGATATGATTCGAATCCCTCAGAGAAACAGTTTCTAAAGAGCAGCTGAGTGGATCGCCGAAAAGTCCAGGGCTGATTGACAGCAAGCGTATTTCTTTTGAGTTGTGTGAAAGTGGTCTGTAGAACGACGCTGGGCTGAGTGGAGAATCTATGACTTCCCTTGATACCGTTGTATTCTCAAGCTTCAGTTGTCCACTTATTTGCATCTCCGCCGACAGAACGAAGTTCACCCAAGCTGGAAACTCGGCGCGTGGCATCAATTGTATCGTATCCCCACCATGGATGGAAGATAACCAAGCGACAATCTCGTGATTAGCGCTGTTGGCATCTAGAACATTCTCGTGTCGATATGGTTCAGGAGATGCATTTCGATTCCGCTGCACGAGCCGCGCCGGTTTGCGCTCGTGATTTGACGGAGAAATGATGCTGGCTTCAAACCAGGTGTACGACTGTTCATACGTACCACCTAGCGTCTCCTGATCATTGCTGAAACCTACTAGAGTGAATATCCCCATTTGAGATACACGGGGTACAAATACAGACCTTGGTCGTGAGACACAGTGATGATGGTTAGACGAGATATAGATTTAACATTGGATGGTACGGATATCTCGAGGTAAGGCCGAGCTGGACAGTACTGCATGATAGTTATGGGGGCATCATTCTTTACGTTAGCCGACCATTGACGACGCTCAGAAGCCATAGTGCTGTATGTGAATATTAGTACGTACGTTGGTGTTGAGGATTCCGTGAGAATATTGACAATCAGTCATCAATCCCCACAACTGCACCTGCAGCTCGCTTGCCTATCGAGCCTATCATCATGCAGATTGCCCGCGGCTACACAATGGGGTGTGATCCTTCTGACTGACAAATCGCTCGATGATCATTTGCGCAATCCTGTAAGGCTGTGAATTTTGAATTCCCAACACAGATATCGTGAAACAAGCCCTCCCATCCAGCCACTTCCCCAAACGTATGTGCAATATTGAAACCAACGTTCGGATACATAACAATTTTGAGAATCGCAGCAACATGCGATATCAATCCACCGCCATCAATGTTATCACGAGCCCAAGATTTGGTCCCGTAAGTAGCGAAGATCTACCACCAAGCTTACATCTCGGAATCAAATATAAACTGGTAGTAAAAACGGTAGTGAGTGCTTTATTCATCACGAATACTATCCCTTAGTGTTACTGTTGTCAAGAGCATTGGAGTCCGTGTGCAGGAGACCGTAGACTTCGTGCAAATCGCCAAATAAATCGTGCTGGAGGCAACGTAGTCACACACTTTAGGAACATGAGTGACATTTACAGAGGTGTCAGACACCAACTATAGGATCCCATGCGAGCTAAGAACAAGTGAGGTTGACACTTGTATTAAGACTATAAAAATTGGTTATGGCCTTATTACCTGTGATTGTGATCCGGTCGAGGGAAATCGCTTTACCATGCTGAGCTCATGAACGTTTCTGGGCTACTTGGTTACTTTTTAGGTTAACCTGCCATCATCGAAACTAAATACATTTGGTGTCCGGAAACACCCATGTCTGCTAAATACCGGCAGTCTTGCAGCTGAAGACGCAGGAGGCATGGATTTCACCTGTAATAAGCGAGGACTGAATATGCAAGTTTTTCCACAATTCGCTTTGACGGCTCGACTCCTCAATCACGAGAGGGAGTGGAGGCGGAATGACCGTTTTTGACCAGGGCTAGTAGGCTCTTAATCCAGTGACTTCGCACCAATGCACCACACATGTGTCAGCTAATGCTGTGTCCGGGGACGAAGCAAGTTCGCTGTGGCTGGCGAGCCTGTTACTCGGAGATTTATTGCTTTTTCTGTCCTTTGAATGGGGCCCGTCATTATGTCAACAGTCTGCGCGACACGGGGATGAAGATGATCACGGGCTGGGGTCTCGATCCCATCTCGTTTCCGAGATGATAAGTGACAAGCACCCTGGCCAGTCAGCTGCACATTGGCATGTGGTGGCTTGCGCACAGAGGCACGATGATGAGAATTGAGGACGGAGTGGATCGCACAGTGTTCTATTAGTACACGGACGCAGAGCATTCGTTCCCCGGACGTTTGAAAGCAGGATTTGCTTTTTGCACTAGACGCCGCTATCAGTATTAGCCGCGGCGCGGCGCCAGCCGTGATAGGCCCGGTCAAGAATCAGGGGCAGGAGACGCGGCCGTGCGCGAGCGCACTTAATTCATGCGGCGCTGCCGATTCGACATCCCAACAGGCCGGGTCCCTGAACGAGTTCTTTAGAACGGTAAGGGTAGCTCTGGGCTTTGCTCTTGGCCATGTGCAGAACGAACATTGCGACAGTGTGGTTCCTGGACAGAGAGGCAGAGCTCGTTCTCGACCGTCCCAACTCGATGGACTCGAAAAACCACGCCGGAAGCTAGAAGTCGATCTATTGATTTCAAGAGGCATATCCCCTGCTCAGGTCTAGATGCTGCTGTTGCGAAGAATACCAAAACGTGAATTTCCCAAAGCTATTGCAAAGCTACAGATTCGACGTTGGCGCACTACAGTGGTGTGTCCCGTCAATGCAGTTAACCGTGACAGCCCATGAGCGGCAGCCTGTTGTTTCGAATTCCTTGACTTGCATACGCATGGCAGATCTTTCAACGGAAAGGAAATAGCAACATGTTGCTGAGAGTCGTATCTCCGTTAGCGTGCTCCCGCTAAAAAGGTCCACTGTTTCGATGAAGAAAGACGAGCGAGACGAGCCAGCTGGGCAATAGCGCCATGACTTAACTATTATCTCGCCGGGGCTACTCTACTTTAGTGTATTAATGTAATGCCTCGGGGGCAATGCGTGAAAGCCAGTAATCATCCCTGGTGCAGTGGACTCCTACGGCGTTGTATGACGACTGGATTGGAGGCAAGACACCTGAAGTGGAGTGTCTTGATGCCACACGTGGTGATAGCGTTAGTTAGTATGCAGCAACGACCGTGCGGCTCGCCAGCTCTCTTGATTAAAACAGACAGAGTTTAGTCGAGCTCACAGTGCCGGAGGCTCGTTCACCATGCAGCCACTGGCTTTGCTCTATAGACCTAACTAGCTGTTATAGGAGGGGTCTCCATGTTTCTCCTTCAATTTAGTACTGTCAATCAGGAGCTAATTATGGAGCCGTGACTGGCATCAAAGGTGTAGGAATCACTTTCACCACTCATTCAGCATTTGATCCCAGATGGAGGTTCCGTGCGCTCACAGCCGAGACGACATAACTTCCAAATGAGAGTTAGCTAGAAACATGGAACTGGCAAATGCCTGCTGGAGCCTGGCCACGCGGGCTCCCGGCCAGACATCGGGTGAAGGGGCTCGCCCACGATAAAGGCCCCTTCTATCCCCCCTCCGTAGGAAGGTGTCTCGTGAGTGTTGCTTGACCGTTTCCTAGCATTTGACTCTCCCGGTTGGGTGGGAAATCCAAGACCCGCCCAACCTTACAATTGTTTACAATACAACTCTCTAGGCGGGAATCATCGCAAAACTATCGTCATGGCTCCAAGAAGGGGGAAGGAGTCTCTCCTGGAGCTCTGCAACCGTGCGACTATGATGGGAAACAGTATATCGGTCCGCATGCTCGAATACCTCAGCACAGTGAAGAACCATCCTCATGGCTTTCGTGAACTTGCCATGGACTTCCTCGATATTTGTCGTATCCTCTGGTCTATCGAGGCCGGCCTGACCGAGGCATCTCGTACCCACAACCAGTTTCCGAGCGACATGGTGCAGGAGCTTGACAAGAAATTTCGGCAAACCAATGACGACTTCATTGTTCTGAACCAGATGCTTGTCAAGTACTTAGAATACGAGAAGAAAGGCGGCTTCGCGAGACTTCAAAAAGGATGGCGCATGATGTTCGCCGACACCAACATTCACAAAATGAGAGAGTCTCTAGCCAAAAGTCGAGATGCTTTGAGAATGAGCGCTCTAGTCTTCAGGTGGTCTCTTGGAGATGCCAAGGCGAACTCAAATATCGGCATTGGCTATACTGGTCTAGCTGCAGCTCTTGAGCGCATGAACACTACTCGGCCAACAACCGTAATCCCTCCAGTCTCTGCGCCCATTTCAGAAAGAGACAGCGCCGTTGACATGGGCCCTCACTCCTTACATTCCCGCTCGCCACACTCGACACATGATGGTCCTGAGCTACCTCCACAACTGCCGCCGATGTCAATTCTGGAAAGGACATCGGCATCCGACCTCATTCGCGACACAACCCATCACAGTGGCGCATACCCTGAACGCCAGGGTTCAAGGCTGGAGTCGAGGTCTATCGCCAGTACACGATCCAGCAAGGTGATGCAGCCGTCGGTGTCAGCCAGAGAAGTCTCTATTCGGGACGCCTCACTCAGGGATGTTTCAGTCCGAGACCATCGCTCAGCATCAAGGAACGGGAGCCTTCAACCTGAGGGTACCATTCGTGACATTCGTGACGATCATGACGACCTTGATGACAGAGCTTCAATCAATACCACGGAGACAGAGACACTGATTGAGGACATGATCCAGGAGCTCGAGCTTAACGACAACACTGCACCAACACAAGTCACGCGCATCAAGGCCGATCTCACCACGGTACCTCGCTGGACACCAAGGCACTCGTCTGGAGCAAATTCCGCGGGCTTGAGGGCTGCTTTGATGAACGCCGTCCACCAAAAGAAGCACAAGATGATCGAGCAGTTGCTTGATCGCGGCGTGCCACCGGACACTGGCCCGGAAATCAACATCCTTCGAGAAGCTGTCCTGAATCGCGACCCAGAGACAACAAGATTGCTTCTGCTGTTCGGCGCAGATGCGAACGGCTTTGACAAGGATGGTTTCACACCGCTATACTCTGCAACGGAGCTATCTTTCCTTGAGGGCGCGAAGATGCTGATCAAGTACGGTGCTGATCCCAACCTCTCCGCCGGCCCAGAGTCTGAATCGCCTCTCGCCATGGCGGTCTCTGAAAACAAGCTTGAATTTGTCCAGCTGTACCTCATGTATGGCGGAGATCCGAACCATGTCATGGCCAACGGCAATACAGTCTTCATCAAGGCGATGAACAAGAGCACACCAAAGAGGCTCGTCGAGCTCATGCTGAACTACGGCAGTGACCCGAACGGCAAGAACGGCGAGGGCAAGTCGCCCCTGTTCGAAGCTATCTCGGTGCAGCGTGTCGACCTCATGACGGTACTTCTTGACCGTGGAGCGAACCCCAATCTTCCCGGACCAAAGCATCTGCTTTGGCCGGCTGTCTACCACCCTCAATGCTTGAGCCTGCTTCTATCACGAGGTGCTGAGCCTAGGAAGTGCCCGGGCATCATGGAGCTGGCAACTAGCATCAATAATCTCGAGTCGGTACGCGTCTTACTCAAAGCCGGTGTGAACCCGAACGCGAAGAAGGACGGTGTCTACACGCCGCTTTGCTCCGCAATCCGTGACAATCGCGGCGAGATTGTGACGCTACTGCTCGCGAACGGCGCGGACCCCAATGTCATGGCTTCTGAGTATCCTTGTTTCAAGTGCGTCACGCACCACCGTGCCCACCTCCTACCACAGGTCGTGGCAGCTGGTGGAGATCTCAACAATCCAAAGGGCATTATCGAGAAGGCAGTCGAGCACAACAACAAAGAGGCTCTGATGTACCTCCTCGACGCCGGCGTCAGCCCTAATGACAAGGCGCCCGAGGGTTTCACTCCGTTGACCACTGCCATTCGCGAGGACCGCGGCGAGTTCGTCGATCTCCTCTTGGCTCGCGGTGCCGACCCTGCTATTCGCGGACAAGACTGGCCGATTTGCATGGCAGTGAAGCGTCCAAACATCCTGAAGAAGCTTCTGCCGTCTGTGGAGAACCCGCGCGCCTTCAAGGGTGTCATGGAGATGGCAGTAGTTGCTAACCAGCTCGAGAGCATCAAGCTTCTCCTACAGGCTGGTGTCAGCGTGGAGGACAAGAACGGTGGTGTGTTCTCGCCTCTCACCACAGCCATCCGTGAGGATCGCAAGGAGATCACCCGCTTCCTGCTAGAAGAAGGCGGTGCCGACGTCAATGCTCCGGGTGAGCATCTGCCGCTCATCAAGGCCATTCGCCGCTTCCGTGGTGACACTGAGTACATTGAAATGCTCCTAGAGCGCGGCGCCGACATCAACCTGATGTATCGGGGCTGGAACGCCGTGCTGCAAGCCGTTGAGAACGGTGATGCCCAGATCCTTAAGCTGCTGGTGGAGAAGGGCAACGGCGTCGACCTGCAAGCCAAGGACGAGTCAGGCCGAACAGTCATGGAGGTTGTCCAGAGCCGAGGCTGGGACGAGGCCGTAACCATCTTGCTTGGTAATGGTGCGGATGCTCGGCGGTAGGTACGGACCTTCCTTCCTCCCCTATATGTTGTTCTGTCATGTCAGGCCGCTGACGATTGAGCTCTAGGCTTAGCGTGTTCTCGTCATTATCCTGGGGTGTGATTCTTGGAGACCAAGGGGAGACTAGTACAATAGTGTCTCCCATTGAAACCACTGTCAGGTAGCAGTAATAATGATGTGTAGTAACAATTGGTTGGTACGGGTTGGAACGGCGTGGGATACCTAGCTATCGCAACATTTTTCCTTGAATTGAATTCCGATATCCATTCTTTTACCCATTTCAGATCAAATTGACAAGATCTTGTCTAACACTGACGAGTCTCTATATTACCGTGCTTGATTGTGCTGATCGCCTACTCGCGCCTGATTCCCACAATTGCCTTCTATGGCATCGAAAACTGTTCGGCGATTGGTAAACGCCGATACTACTTCTACCTGAAAGTTGGCCATGGTGAAATTCTCGTAATTAACGATACAATGGGGCAGTCCACTGAATTAGATTCCACCAAGAGCGGCCTGATGAAGAATCTCGGCCGCCCAACGGTAGAACTAAAAAAGATGCGCTATAACAGCAGCATTCGGCAGGAGCCGGTTGAGACTGGCTTGCACACACCAAGTCAGAATAAGGTGCTGATGGGCATGCCAGGAATGTGGTTATTGGCCAATCGCTGCTGTACGAAAATCGCAATGAGTGATGTTTTGCGCCCACCATCATCCGTCTGGGGTCCGATAAATTTCGGGGTCCTCTACGTACGATGTCAGCAAGTTGCATATCTCTCCACCTTCCACACAGCGATGCTTGCAGCAATTGTTGCATCCATGTCACCAAGTCTCAAGATTCTGCGGTCGATTGGGCCAGTTTGTCAGCAGAATGTTTTGTCCTGCCGGAGAAGCCCCGGCATCTCTGCTGGTGAGGAGGCATCTGCCGAGGTGCGGTCTGTAAGTCCCACACTGCTGGGAACATGGGAGCCGTGCCATTGGCCACTCGCCGCCCGGCATCTCTTCATCCCGTGGGACGTCATCGAAAACCCAGATATTCCAGTCTCTGCTCAGAGTCGATGGGGCTGATGATGATGTAGACGGCAAATCCACTCGAAGTGAAAAAACTTTTGGCGATAGTTGTATCGGCGTTAAGTCCGAAAAACACATGAGTCGCCCATGATGCGGTGTCGGTGGCATTCAAGACCCAACCATGACCCGTCCTTTAAAGGGCTTCGAGCTCGCAAGTGCTTTCCCGAGCTCAACACAAACCCCAAACCCCTGTCCTATCAATTGGAACATACTCACATATCTCTATCTAATCTCGTGAACCACAAATCTCCATTGGCTTTCCCACACGAAAAATACGGGCGACATCACCATGGCCAGCAGTACGGAGGAATACAAGTTCGAGGGCTGGCTCGGCCACGATAAGCAGTCCGTTGAAGGCAAGATGGCCTGGGGCGACTTCGAGCCAAAGGCATGGGAGGAGACCGATGTCGATATCAAAATCACACACAGCGGCATATGCGGAACAGATCTGCACATGCTGCGAAGCGGCTGGGTTCGTTATTGCCCTTTGATTTATGCTTATCAATACAATACTAACGTTTGTCTCTCGACAGGGCCCAACACCCTATCCCGTCTGTGTCGGACACGAGATCGTCGGCGTAGCCGTGCGAGTCGGCAATCAAGTATCACATATCAAGACCGGAGATCGGGTCGGCGTCGGCGCACAAGGGGACAGCTGTCAGTGCCGAAAAGATCTTAATGGCGAGGACTGCTCTGGGTGTGACGCCTGCGCGACGAGCGCCGAGAACTACTGCCCGCGAATGGTCCAGACATACGGGGGTTTCCATTTCAATGGTGACAAGAGCATGGGAGGCTTTGGTCGCTACTATCGAGGACCGGCTCATTTTGCCGTACCGATACCCGATGGTGTGCCTTCGGAGATCGCGGCGCCAATGCTGTGCGGCGGCGTTACAGTCTACAGCCCGTTGGTACATTTTGGCGGCGGTGGAAAGACGGGCGAGGGAGCGCTGAAAGGCAAGGCCATCGGCATTGTCGGTGTTGGTGGTTTAGGTCATTTTGCAGTCCTCTTCGCTAAAGCGCTCGGCGCGGAGAAGGTCATTGGTATCTCAAGGAGGGGCAACAAGCGAGAGGATGCCCTGAAGCTTGGGTGTGATGATTATATCGCAACAAGCGAGGATCATGACTGGACAAAGAAGCATTTCCGCTCCCTGGACCTTATCATAAGCACGGTTTCATCCTCTCAGGTTCCATTGGGCGACTACCTCTCGCTACTGAGACGCGATGGCATCTTATGCCAGGTAGGCAATCCAGATGACGGTGTTTACAATGTGCCGGCGCCGGCGTTGATTCTGAACCGCGTTCGCATGACTGGCTCATGTATTGGGTCGCCCAGCGAGCTTCGAGAGATGCTGGCCTTGGCCGAGAAGAAGAACATCAGGCCCTGGATCGTCAAGCGCCCGATGTCCGAAGCCAACCAGGCGATTGTGGACCTTGAGGCAGGCAAGGCACGATACCGATATGTGCTTGAGAATTAGAGGATCCACCGGCACTTATGATTTGATGATGGTCAAGACTATATTGGGACTGTTCAGCGAGTTGTGTCGCTGAAACGCGACGTGGTATATTACAATGTTCCCTCATAAGGGATAATAAATGACAAGACAGTATGTGATATCACATAGCCCAATACTATCGCGCCTAATGCAATCCGTGGAGATGCCTACTCGTGATAAATCGCCTGTCCATGTCGGATTTTGACGAACGCAGGATCACTTCGAGTTTTGGCCGAGTGAGAGAGCATGTGCCTGATTTGTGATGAAACCCCATGCCCCCAATTTCAACGCTTTCCGTTCACTGATTTCTCCCAAACAAATGAAAAGCCCCCATCATCAGCCATTTCCCGTATCGTGATACGCAGCCCTGCCGTTCCCGCTATGCTTTGACATAGGAGATTTTCTACTTCATGAGTTGCTTCAACCATCGTGATCCCACCACCCTGCTTCCATGCCCACCCTGCCGGTGCCCACGGCGCTGATTCTCACTGCCTTCTTTCTTGGTAAAGGCGGGCTCACATCCGGCTCCATTAGATATGTGTCGGGACTAATTGGCGAATCTGGCCGTGGGATTCCCATCTCCTGCTCATGGAAAGCTGCGTCTATCGGGTGCTCAAGGATGCGTACACGAATATCCTCATCTTTCAGTGCCATGCGTCGAGGGTGACTCTTGGGACTAAGAGGCGTAGAATCAGGGCGCGATCGCGTGCTGACTTGATTCCACTTATTTGTTGGCGGCGCTAAGAAAGCCGCCGAGGAAGCCGGGCTGTTTGAGGACTGTACCGTGGTCGGCGAGTGATCGCCGGAAGGCCGGTAAGGAAAGTCGTCCGAATTGCTAGTCTCTTCGAATTCCATGAAGTCACTCAAATCCGGACTCGGCTCCGCGGCGTCGAACGCGTCCATGCTATGCGTGGGACGATCCAGATACATCAACACGTGCTTGTGGCCTGTAGTCAAACGGTTTAGTTGGGTTGGATCTGATCGTGCCGCCGCTGGCTGAGATCTTCCCGCAGCAGTTCTGCCATTCGATGCAGAGCGGTCCCTTCTGGCCGGCCGTGGTTGGAGATCGTTTTGGGTGACTGTGCTGACGCTAGATCGACGAGAGTGCTTCATGGACGCAGAAGACTGCGATCTCTCTTGCTCATGGTCAACCCTCTCTATCTCTTCCTCAAATTCGGCGAGAATTGTCTCACGCATTCGAGCGCGCTTGATTCGCAGAGCAGCAAGAAGCATTTCTTCTTGCTTCGTCACGGCCATGAACCTGCCATCAATGCTAGTATGCCCGGCTTTTCCAGCACTCTGGGAGCTTCGAATGCTTCCGGTCTCTTCTGATATCGAATTATGTTGGCTCCGAAGGTAGAAATCGACTGAACTGGGCGAAAGGGGTGGAGTAGGTTGGCTGCTCCGCGAGGATCGCTGCGCCGAACCGCGGTAGCTGGCCTGTTGCTGTCGGGGCGGCGAACTGCGTTGCCGGCCCTGTGCAGGAATCATAGTGATTGCAAGAGCTTCCTGAGCATCAGCATGCGGTTTAGGTCCGAACTGACCAGCAAGAGAGGTCGAAGTATCGGAAGAGAGAGTTGAAACACGCGATGACGACCTGATAGAAGATCCTGTCGTAACTGATGTTGCTCCTGATTGAGTGGTCGACAAGGAACTTGTTCGGGCATTGATCGGCGGCGGTTTAGGCCCAACGGAAGCCCTTTCTGGGATGGCGAGGTATTGATTTTTTGTTGCAAAGCTGGCATGCTTCAGTTCTTTGTTTCGCACGGAATCTTTCTCTGATCGTGATGTTCTTGGCCGTTTGCTTTCCGTCTCGTCCTCACGAGAGTTGACAGTTGGCACGGAGAGAGCCGTCTTGGGCGGTTCCGGGAAGTCGTCTTCTGAATCCGAGGATAGAGACAGGATACTGTTCTGTTGTAAATTGAGATCCGAGAAACTTTGGTCGGTCCGCTTCGATGCCTTGGACGTCCGGGTGTGTCTACTTGAGATGCTGGCAGAACAATCTGCAGGAGGCGAGCTGACACTTGGGGTTTTCATCATTGCCGTCAGCGGTGTATCCGTGCCGTTCAAATATCCACTCGATGAGTGTTTGCGCAACATCGGAGCTAGTCCACCACGATTCGAGGGCGATGTGAGCAGGTTGGTCGAAGAACTTCGCGTCCGGCTGGCATTAGGTCCTTGGTGTTTCTCTGGGGTACGAGATATTTGCTCCTTCGCATTCATCACATCACGATAGGACGCATGCTCGTAATGTTCATACAAATTATGCAGTCCAGTAGCTTCATTAGCTCGTCGCCTTTGCGCTATCCCATTGTCTTGTGGGCTTAAAACTTCTGAACGTTGACTTCTCAAGCTCTCCTTCGTTAGTTTCTTTCGAAGTATCCTGGTGCCTGTTTGTTGGACTGGCGGAGGAGTAATGCCGGGCGAGACAGACATCATAGACGGTGATCGAGACATTGCATCCGGGCTCAGAGCCATGCCATATTGAGTCTGCGGGGCTTTGGCCGAAGATTTATGCTTTGGTAGGAGATGAGAAAGATCGAGCATAGCAGGCTTCTTCTTCTTCCCTGTTTTCGGAGACGGTACTGTTCCATCCATGTCGAGCAATGCGCTAGCTTTTGCTGGCAGGCCTTTGGCCATTGCGGAGTTGGAAGTTTGTTGCGAAATCGACAAAGGAAGCTTCGACTTGTCGTAGAATGAGGTAATGGTTGAACTAGATTGCCGCCGACGAATGCTTGATGCGTCTGTAATCATATCTTCTAAGTCGTATCCAAGACCACCAGGACTTCGAGGTCCACCATTGAGTATCCGTGGTATAATCTCAGACTCCTGTTCTGCCATGAGTCTACTCCTGTCATAGCTGCTCTTTGTTACCCGTCCCTCGTGAACTGTCCCTAGCTCCGTCCCGTTATAGCTAGCTGTGCTCTCCGATATTGTAACACTTATACCCGAGTTTGAACGGGTCTCCCATTGCTTCGACTGGTCTTTCGGTAGCGTTGGCGAATCGATGCTGATGCTGATTTCTCCCGTGCCGAGGATCTTCTGCGCTTTCGTGAGCGGGGTGGATATCGACGGTGTGGGCTCTGGCCGTTGTCGCCGATGAGGAATTGGGAACGTGAACTTAGACGTGCGACCCATGATGACACATCTGCAGATTCAATTGACTCTCGTCGCGATGATTAGGCGTTTCTCGGATACTATTTTCCGGGTACCATTCACGTCTCCGCGACGGCATTCGAAGATGCGCCGGATTGAGAGACCATGTAGCCAGAATCTCGTCTTGTAGTGATGCGTCGAAGCGGTGAGAAGGTTAGCTGGTGAGCAGCGGGAGCTACCGGTTCTCTTCTATCGTCGATTATGCATGGACATGGGTTTTCGGCCGGGATAGTGCTACTCGAATTGCGAATAGGCCGAGGTCTTCAAGTCAACAACTCGAGTTCAGTTACTGTCAGTGATGTTGTCAAGATACAAGTCTTCGGCGGTTCAGGGCTAGAAGAGCAGGTGAATGACCGAGAAACATGCGGACAAGTTGTTAAAGAATGCAAGCCCAAATTATCCGATATGAGCACCTCCTGACCAAAGCCCACCTCAACGTATGCTGTCAGACAGCGTGGACCCTACCAGCTCCACTTCGACTACGTATAATCTCACGAGACGAGAGTGGACATAAAGGGCATCAGTCTAAGTCTAAGAATGGTCACTAAAGGGGCGACGAATTGCTTAAAGACAGTTCGGCTTGGTCGAATGGATCTGGGGTCACAACGGTAGCTGGTTCTAGCTTGACATGACGGCAGCAGCGGCATGTCACACACAGAACCCGACGCTACCTCACTTCAGTCGGTACTAAGACTTCACACCTGTCCCAAAGGTGGGTGGTAGATAGGTCTACCACCTAAAAGTCGTAGCCACATGAAGCATATTCCAGGGCGAGCACTTTACAACAGTGCAACCTTCCGTCGCTCCGACTTCTTATTGCTGCTCAATTAAGGGCCCCGAGACCTCGTGGACAGTATCCCCTGGAGATTTGCGGCATGGGTGCCTTGTAAAACAAGGTGCCACTAAACCTTCAGAGGCTGCTCTCCGAGGCCGCACCCCTGTAAGCCACTCACGACTGTGGACATAATCGCAGGCCAGCTGCCCAGGACAGACCGAGTAACCGACGATCTGCGACAGAATGGCCGGGAAAAAGCAGGTGGTTGAAGTCTAGTCAAACAGCAAAAGGCCGGCTGATGCGGCCTGGTGCGGCACATTACAAGATAGTGAGAATGCTATGCTCATGCCCAAGAACTGCGATATGTATTGCAAAATGCTAAGACAAGATGGAGTCCCGCTCCTACCCTCTAAGGGCCCTTTTCCCCCTTCATTCGACCAGTCGACAATTGAGCAACTGAGACCTGATCCACTCAAATAATGAGTCGGCAGGGATTGAACTTCGCTGGCGGAGTCAAACTTGATGGGCAACTGAGATGCGCTGATGCAAATAACACGGCATCCCTGACCTGTGGGCACCCGTGCCAGTGTTCTCCCTGCTCGCTAGAATGATCATCGTTCTTACCATCGTTGTCTTCAACATGATCTTTTCCGCATCAGTACATGATTTGCAAGATCTCTAAATCCCCATCTCTCGTCCTGGTCTTAGCATAGCACTTAAGCAGTGCCAATACTCAATACCATGATAGTAGGCTACGCTAACTTTCCAAGGTTGAACAGGTTCGGCGATGGTCGGCCTCTACTTGATGCCGTGCAGATTCACCCCTGAAAAGCTTTGACCTCTGGCGGTGAAGAGCGCAGAAACTCGGACCTCGTTTTTCGTCATGAGCTAGGCCACATTGTAATTGACTTGACATTCAAACTTGAGTATCCAGTTCTTAGCATCGACTTCATGTCGATAGTTTCACAGCACAGAGCAAATGGGAGATTACGCAATATCGTATCAGTAATTGCTTGCTCTCACTTCTACATTTGAGATCGCAAAGCCGGTT